GTTTCAAAATCATCAAAGTATTTTACAAGCAAATGCTCTTCAAATGTAATAAATTACATAAAATTTTAGCGTAAACTACCATTAAGATGTTCGATGTTAAATCTCCACATCATTAATGGTTCTTCCTTCTTGTATAATTTGAACTATTAGCGCTATTGAAACATGAGTAAAAAAGATTTTGAATTTATTGTTATTTTTTGAATCTCATTTATGTCAATGAAATCTACAAAAGTTTGCTGATCTCAAAAATTCTGTTTCAAAAAGAAGTAATAAAATTTTCACTAAAAATAAAATTAAGCAATTCAAAAAAAATTGGTTAACATCGTCCCTTATCAATCTCAAAGATTAATTGTTTAAATCTGAATCAATCTTGAATTTCATATGTAAAATTGCAATTGTTCAAATCACAAAAGATTATTTAATATATAATATTTTTAAATTAAGAAACCTCAAAATGTAACTCATTATTATTATTAGGGAGAAAAAGAATTAAATATTTTTCAAAGGAACCTTAGTGCAGAAGGAAAAAAAAGTAATTGAAAACTCAACGAAAAAATATTGAATATCAAGTTATCCCAAAAAATTGAAGAGAAATTTAGAAATTATAAGAAATGCAAAATTCCCCAAGAACCAGGTAAAACCTATATTAGCTGAGAAATTAAGAGAAAGTATCATTATCGTTAAAATTGATGAAATTCTCTTAAAGTTCTTACCGAAATTGTCTAATCCATATTGTCCGAACGTTGATTGTAGAATTGGCTTTATTTAATAAAACAATGTATTACATAATAAAATTGACTTCTGGGATAAAGATGAAAATCAAAGCATTTAAAAAATCATACTTACAATAATCAATCTTCGAGTTATCAATATTAAACAGTACTTCTTATTATAAGATATGAGAAAAATCCTCATTAATCAAAGTTAAATAGTGAAGCATTATGAATATAATAAAGTAAGGTCCTTAAATTCATAAAAACGTTCTATTTAATTGAAGGCAGAAATAATTAAATAAGTGGAGAATTTATAAGATTAGGAAATAAATTTATGAGCAAAAACTAAAAACTATAAATGAAACAAGGAGATAAAATGATATAATAAAAAATAAAGTGATCATGTTGATTTTGTTTTTGAAGACGATGAGGTGAGAGTGATTATGGTTCGATTTAAGAAGAACTGTTTTGCATTTATCAATATAGTGTTGCTTGTATTCAAAAATGTAAAATTTAGAAAATTTATTAATTTGACAATATAAAACTAATTTTGGCAATAGTATTTCTTTCTAAATATTATTTATATTAAATTTAATGGGACTCTGTTCTAGTAAAACAAACAAAGAACTTATCCAATCAAATAATAATAATAACAAATAAGTTGGACAAGAAAATAATAGTTTTCATGGAGGGTCATTTGTAAACCAACTTCAATAAAAATCATCTTTGATTTAAACTCCAATTTTTCATCAGAATACAGGATCTATATAATAACAATCAAGTAAGGTCATAATATAAGGACCTGAATTAACAATTAAAGAAGGCTTTTTAGAAAATTACCGAATGGTTACTTAAAGCTTGGATTATACAATTGTAAAATAAATCAATTCTGATATTAAATATAAGGCTTATGTTTATAAAAAGTAATTTTAGGATACTGAGGAACTTATTAATAGAATAATTTCTATGCCATTGGTATAAACTTGAAATTATGTAGAATCACAAATTTATAATCAAGCTTATAGACATATATAAAGATGAGTAAAATTATTTTGTCTTATATGAGCATTAAAATATGAAAAATTTAAGCGAATATTTAAAAGTGAATAAACTTAACATAGAAAGTGCAGGTATTATATTTAATAAAATGATTGATATAATTGGATATCTACATTCTTAAACTTATTGTCATGGAGCAATTCATTTGGATACGTTTAATTGTATCCAAAATCAATCAGATATGAATTTATTCTTAGTTCAAACAAAGAATATATACTTAAGACTACCAACAAAAATTACATAAAAAAACGACGTATAAGCTTTGGGATTGATTGGATTCTAGTTGTTAACAGGACATCCATTTAGGATCATGCTGAATAAATCATCCAAATGGGAAATCAAAAAAGAATTAAATGAAGAGTTTGATTGCCTGAAATTGCCGAAGAAGATTAGTAAGTTAATTATGAAAATGATTAACCCAATACCTTTACATCGATTATCTTTACAGCAAGTAAAAGAAATGTGTTGGATATAGAATCATACAGATTCAAGGAATCCCATTGGTAATTCTTTTTAAAAATTGAAGTACATAAAATTTAATTCTTTAACATCTATTTTGACTTATTATATAGTTGAGAGATTTCTTTAACATGAAAAATAAAAACTAACTAATTTATTTAACTAATATGATCTCGATGGAGATGGAAGGATCGATTTACTAGAGTTTTTTTAATTATATTTGATTGCAACATAAAGTTATAAAAATAAAAAGAACAGTGAGAAAATTTATGAGCTTTTAGATGAAGATGATAGATCATAGATTACTTTATAATAGTTTTTAATAGTTGCTATTGATAAAGAATTACTGCTTAATGAAAATGTGATTTCATCATCTTATATGTCTCTATCAAATAAAAATGGCTATATAACTGTTAAAAGCATTAATAAAAAAATCGATATCGAAGAATAGTAATTATTAGAAATTTTTTCTGAAGTAACTGATTTCGAGAGAGTATAAAAATTTATATTTTTTAGTTGAATTTCCTTGAGTACAAGCAACTGCTTTAAGATTACGAATGAAGATAATTGCAACTATTTATTATCAAAATTTTGAATTTATTATATTTCAAAAGATATTCAATCAGCAAAACAATTAAAAAAGATTAAGTTAAAATAGCTATTAATTTATGAAATAAATTCACAATCTCCATTAAATATTTCATCAGCATAATATCTTTAAAGAGTAATTTGGATATAATGCATCATTATAATATATACTTAGAGTATATATTTATTTAATAGAGACAATTAATTATGAGAAGCTCAAGCTCAGCATCCATGCTTTTCAAAGTCTGCTTTTGAAGATTTAGTAACTTTAAGAAGGACAAATTCTTCAGCATTTGTTGGATGAATCCCTACTGTTCTTTATAAATCATCTAATCTCATTCCCAATTTGATTGCAACAGCAAATCCTTACATTACTTCCCCAGCATTTGGTCCGAGGTAATGTAATCCAACAACTTTATTGTTATCTAATACATTGCATATAGCTTTGACATACACCTTTCTTTACAATAATTCATAATTTTCATCAAGCTTATCACATAATTGTTCTTCCAAAGGAACAAATTTAGAATGATAGATTTCGATATTCATTTCTCCAAATTTGGACCTTGCTTATTCTTCACTAAAACCAACAAAACTATATTCTAGAGGAGTGAACACGGTTGTTGGATAATCGTTGTATTCTAATTTAGTACTTTCATATTCTTTTTATGAATATGACCCTTTAATCAAAAGTTTTATTCTTTTTGCTAATAATTAACCACTTTTTGAAGCAATTGGAGTTAATTCTGGAATCCCATTTAATACATCTCCAATAGCAAATATATTTTCAACTTCAGTTCTTTCAACTTCTCCATTTTAATTACCAAAAATCTGAATAATATTTTTATTATTACCTTATTGTTATTAGGATTCACTTTGATACCTAGTTTATCTAAGTTAAGCATTTAGGTGTTGGCTTATCGACCAATTGCCATAAGGACAGTATCAAAAATGCCAGCATCTTCTTATGAATTTACAGTAGACTTCCATTTAACTAAAATTTTATCATCTTTTAATTCAGAATGAAACGGTAATGATTCAGGTACTATATTAACACTTAAATATTTTTGGTAATGTTCAAGTATCATTTTCACAACATCTTGATCAAATTCTCTAAGGTACTTTCCTCTTGTCATTAATGTTACATCATAACCTAATCCTTTTAACATTCCTGCACTTTCCAAAGCAATATATCCACCACCAACAACAAGAGTCTTGCCTGGGGGTTTTGTTTATGAAAAGATATCATCAGATGTTATTGCATATTTTGAAATCGATTATAATTTAGTTGGACGTCCACCTGTACTAATCACACAATATTTGAATTTCAATTCTCTTAATTTATTTATATCATTTGATTTAAAATCATCCATTTTACCATATTATAAAGTGTGGTTATCTTTAAAAGTAGCTAATTCATTCAAATAAAGAATTCCAGATTTTTACAAATTCTATTTATAACCATAATTAAGTCCTTTAATGTGATTCTGAATGTTCTCTACTAATATTTCCCAATTCACTTATTCTTATTCGCTTGGAGTCCATCCATAAGGAGTTGAACCTTCAATGTTCTCTTTAATTAAAGCACTTTGATGCATTAATTTTTTTGGAATGCATCCAACATTTACACAAGTTCCTCCTAATCCCCATATTGAACCTTGACTTGAAGGGGTGACATAGTCAAACACTGCAATCTTTAATCCTAATTTGGCACCTTCCTAATTTATATTTAAAATAAATTACAAGTGCAAATGCTAACCCTCCTGATCCTCCTCCAATCACAGCGACATCAAAAATGTCTGCAGATTTGCAGAATTTTTGCATACGCCTTGCAAAGCGAATCATTTTTATTTATCTTAATACTTTTTATAATCACAAATAAAATTTGTTTTTAGTTTAAAATTTCATCATTATTGTATTAAACAAATAATGTTATTTGGTACTGACATTTCAAAGATTTTTAGAATTAACTTTTCAATTTGTTATTTGTTTTCTTTATAAATTATATTTATTGTACAAATTATTTAATTAAAATTCTAAATTTGAATTTAACACACCTAAAGTATAAATATTCAGCTTAAATATATTCAGTAAAGGTATCTAAAAACAAGAAAATGTATTATTATTTTCATATAATTAAGTGAGTATCATTTATGGAGTTTATAAATAAATAATTAAATTATGAATGAACGAATCGAAACTCAAACATAAACTTACATATGCATAACAGAGATAGAAAAAAAACAAAAAAAATTTGTCTACCCAAGAGTTGATAAATACAATCATCCAATTATAAAAGGAGTGAAGGGGAAAAGAATTTCCTTTAGAGATATCATAGAGAAAAGAGAATTATGTGATATATATATGGTTTAAAAATATCACTAGAATAAGGAAAATTCTAAATGTTCCTGTAGCTGTTCAATCTAATGAATCTATTTATATTATTTGTCTAAATATTTATGAAGATAAAATAATTAGATAATTTTCTATCAGCAATATCTTAATGCTATGATTTGAAATAAAGAATAATAATTAATTTTAAAAATGAAAAAGTGATCACGATCTAATTCATTATTTAATGGTATGCATATTTTACAAGAATTCTTTGCATCGATTAATAAGAACGCTATTATTTGCTCCTAATTAGGATTATGTTCTTTAATGATTAACTAAGTTTTATTTGCTTCTTTAATCAGGAATACCTTTTTGTATCAAATAGGTTTAATAATTCATACTCACTGCTAGAATTATAGAATTTATGAATCTTACTTTTTTAATATAGCCCAGCTTATTATGGTTACTAAGGCATAGAAGATTATGGTATGTTTTATATACTTTAAACATTTTAATCAATTAAGAAGCTATTGTCTTTAGAAATTTTTTTTCCATTATTAAAGCTAGAGTTAGTTTTTTCTGGTGGAAAATAAAAAGAAGTGCTTGTACCACTAGTTGGCATTTTACTACTCATTCTTTTTTAAGTAGCCACGTTATTTGATTATTATTATTACGATTATTATTATTACTATTATTATTATTTTAATTAATTATTTGGATTTTAATTTAAAGCTGCATACACACTTACTGAAGGTGGCCTTTATTGCGGATTAGAAATTTATGGTTTTTGATTAGGTTATGTCCACATAGACAAAATCTATTTTTTGGATAAGGAGGCATCTCTTTCTAATTTATTGTTATGATTTGCAACTTCAATCATATTCTTTGATCTTAAATTTTCTTTATTTACTTCTTTACCAAATTAGCCATTAATAAATTCTTTGCTCATATTCACACTTTATTATCCAAAATATTCCTTTGAGCTGTAATCTTTTGTGAGATAATCTTTTATACAATAATCCTTTGATTAAACTTCTCTGTTGCCATAATCTTTGATTTATTACATAATATTAGTGTCAGATTATCTAATTATAGGTTATTCGGTTGGAAGAGTTGTATTTGAAGGCCCCACAGGTTTTTTTGATGGTTATTGAAAGCTTTAGGTTCTTCTTCTTTCTTATTATTGTTAGAGTACATCATTAGCTTTTAAAGAGTTCTCAAATTTATTTTCAATTTTATTCTCATTTTTCTAATCATACTTTTTAGTTATTTCTAAATATAATGCTTCCCTATATTCCTTAATACTAAATTTCTTATTATCATTCATTGATATTTTAATTGGGTTTGTTGTTGTCTCTTACAATTCATTATGAAATGCATTGACGTAAGGATGTCTCAAAGCTTCCTCTACAGTTATTCTGGTATGAGGATTAAATGATAACAATTTTCGAATTAAATCTAAAGCTTAAGGTGTTGCTTTAGGAAAATAATTAGTAAATCCAATTCTGGCTCCTTTTGGAATATTATTGACAATTTAGGAAGCTAAGGGGGCTTATACACTTTCTAATTCTGATGTTGATGGTCTACCAATAACTTCAATAATTCTTTCAATTTAATTCAGAGTAGAACTCCCAGGAAATATAGGTTTGCCATTTATCATTTCTCCTAAAATGCATCCAACTGACCACATATCGACAGCTTTTGTATAGAAAGTGGATCCTAGAAGGATCTCTGGAGCTCTGTACCAACGAGTTGCTACATATTCAGTCAAAATGGCATTTTCATCAAAGGGCATTAAAAGACTTCTTGCAAGTCCAAAATCTGCAACTTTTACATTACATTCTGCATCTAATAAAACATTAGAAGGTTTTAAATCCCGATGAATAATTTCAGCTGAATGAATATACTTAAGTGCTTTGAGAATTTGATAGAGTATATATCTAAATTAGTAAAAGCTTTACCTTTAATGAATCTCTTCAAGAATTCCACCTCGAATGACTGCATGAAGATCGGTTTCCATGAAATCAAAAACTATGTAAAGATCCTTGTTATTATCAGCCTTATGAATATTTGTCATTCTAATAACATTGTCATGAGCCATCTCTTGTAAAAACATGACCTCTCGAAATGTTCGTTGTGCATCTGTTGCATTGTGAAAAGCATCAAATACTTTCTTCAGAGCAACTATTTATTTTGTTTTTCGAACTATTGCTTTCCACACAACGCCATAAGCTCCTTTTCCCATTTTCTAGATTATTTCATACTTCTGTATAATGTGAGTCTCAATTTCCTCAGTCATTTTAAAATAAATTAACTGTTAAAAATAATTATACAGAAACATTAATCTTTTACCAATTGCATTCAAATTATTGACAATAAGTAATCACATTCTCACATCTCATAATTTGAATCATGCAAACTTATATGCATAAAAATTCTAAATAATAATATCAATTTATTCCCATTAAACCAACAATTTCTATCTTCTATTTACCTTCATCTTTATAATTTTCCTGATATTCATTTCTAATTTATATTATACAAAGACATAGAAGTTTTGATATTCTCAATATTCAAAGGATAACAAGTTCAACTTAATTGATTTAAATTAACATAATTGTGATAAATCTCTAAATATTATAATAAACATATACTAATATAATTAATGAATAAATAATAAAAAAATAGATCTCTTCCTCCCACAAAAGTTAATGCTCATCATAAACCACATGGTTTTTAAGAAATAGAAAATTGCAAATAGGCAATAAAGGATATTATTTAGCACACAGAATCTGAAAATAAACCCAAATAATCTCAACACAAATCTGTCGATAAGACTTAATAATAAAAGAAGTAATTACATTCCACTGTATAAGAATACAATGAAAATGTAGGAAAAATGTTCACTTCAACCAAATATGGGATTTAGTATATGCAGAAAAAAGTCATGCATAATATTGATTAATTATGAATTCTAGTTATTTTATTATATCTATTATATTTTTGAATCGCTTATATACTCATTTAATAAATGTTTAAATTATAAAATAATCAATTTAAATTTCTTAAGCCATAAGTTCTCACTTATAAACGAGTATTTAATTTCATAAAATACATTATTCATTTACTCTGTTGGATAAAAGGCAATAATTGTAAAGAAATATTATACATCAAATTAATTTTCTGACTCATAATTTATTAATCAAGACCACCTACTGTTAAGTTGGAAAAATAATTTAAAAATGTCTATATATTTTATTTCTTATTTTTTCTATAAATACTCTAAAACTGATATTTCTATTTGAATTATAACTTTTTTTTGTAATTAATCTCAAAAGTATAAGACATCTTCATAAATCTATATTATTTGATTTTATGATAATTCCATACAAAGAAAAAAAGTTAAGAAACTTCTTCATTTGATATGAAGTTTAATAATGCTATTATGATATGAATTTATGTTTGTAAAACAGGAAGTTAAACTTCTTACAGTAAAATAATAAAGGTCCATTGATCCTTTTTCAATTCACCTAGAATTTTTATTCCATTCCAGGGAAGATGTTAATCTATACAGAAATGAAAAGTATCTTTAAGATTCAAAAAAAAATCTAGACAAGATTAACTTATGAAATATTAATTAGTATGTAATTTATTTATAGTTTTTTAATATATTAAAACAATGTTAATATGGTTAAGAAAATAAAAAAGATTGGCATTAGAAATTTACGAAGATTATAATGACTCCATTTATATTGATTGCCAGAATGAATTAATCATCTCTCAATTCTGGCCTCTATTTGTAACAATAATGAAAATCTATTTATTTTACAGTATTGTTTTGATAATGATAAGTAATATTGAAGAGTACGAATCGTTCAATAGTTAAAAAGTCACTCTTTATACATATTTATTAATTTTGCTTCCTTCAACTATGATTATATATGATAGATGGATAATTGAAAAATTATCCAAAAGGTAGAAAGTAGTTCTAACATAAATTATCTTTATAACATTGGAAACATTATTGTAGCTTTATTTATCCTAATTACTTATGGAATACGAAAGTTTGTAGAGATTAATTGGTATACTTTTAATATTTACAATAATGCTAATTGTAATGGCAACAATGAACAATTTCAAATTAAGATTAATCATTCTAATTAAATTTTTTGTTTACTTAGGCTATAAAACTGAATTCACCATCTTTTAATATTTATTCACTTACCATATTGTTTTTTTGAATTTGCTACTTGTCTATTACTGGGATCAGCAAATAATGAGATTAAGTAAAATAAAACATTTTGCTGAATAATCTCTAAGAAGTATACCAACAGCAGTTTGTATTCTAAATTCTGATTGTTAATAAGTCTTATTCTCAAATAGATATATGAAGAAATTGATAGACAAATCTCACACAAAGACAAAAACATTTATGACAAAGTCTGTAAAATAAGATTATTTGTTTGAAACTCAACCATCAATAATGAGCAATTATGATGAGATTTTTTAATTTTTTTCTTAAATGTTCGCAAATGTTGAAGAGGTTAAGAACTAACTGCCTCCAGATTCAAGTAAGTTCAATCTTGACAATTTGGATGATGAATAAATAAACTTAAATCAAATCATTCAATATATAATTAAGACTGACAAAAAGACCTAAGGAAAAATATATACATTAAGATGTTAATTTATAGATCGTCCAGAGATGATTAATGATGAATCACAGAAAGTAGTGATTGAAGTGAAAATGAAAACACTCTTATAATATGAAGATAATAAACATGCAACTCTAATTAATCTTTATGATATATCTACCAATTTAAAGTCTATATATTATAAGAATTTGAACTAATTTAAAAGTAAAGTAATAAGATCAATATCTCATGAATTAAGGACTAGATTGAATGCTATTTAAGGCATGATATAGATGGTTTAAAATTACAATTAAAATTTTGATCGAGAAGTGCAGAAATACTTAAAGGCAGCTTTTAACAACTGCAGAATTTAAAATTTTATTATTGGTTCCATTATAGATTATAATTTATTGAGGGAAAGACAATTACCTGTCAAATTAGACAAGGTGAAAATTAACGTATTAATTTAGGAAGTGATAGATTTATTCAAAGATGAAGCAGAACTAAAAAGTATTAAGATTAAATATGAAGATAAAATATAGACAAATAACTTTGAATTGTTGGATTCTGAGAAATTTCAGAGCATACTAATTCACATAATATCTAATAGCGTTAGATTTAGTAAATCTGATGGATTAATTTCGATTAAATTATTAAAAGATCTAAGTAATAATAATAATAATAATAACAATAATTAAACTAATAGCTACATTTAAATACCTGACAATAGAGCATAAATTAATAAGCATTCAAAATTGTAAGTACCACATTCTTAATCTCCTCAGTAATAGAGATTGAATGGAAGTGAATGTTGTCATGACTCATCTAATAATAAATAACGTAGAACTTATAGTAAATATAAGATGGCCAGTTAATTTTCTTCAAATGGAAATTTGTCTACAAATCTTGCTGACGTATATATGATTGAAGTAAGAGACAACGGTTTAGGTATGACAGCAGAAAGATTGGAGTATATTCGATCTTTGTTAAATGGGGAAGACTTTTAAGTTGAGAGAAATTCTAATGATGCATCTTCTGGGATGATGCTTGGTTTAAGAGCTTCTAATTAGTTAATAAAAAATGTGTCAGGTAAAGATGATAATGGAAATTATATTTCAATAGATTCAGATATTGATAAGGGCACTATTATTTAAATGCATATAAAGATAAAACTAATTTCAGGTGAAAATTTCTCTAGTGAGTTAATACTAAAAGAATCAAGTGTAGAAAATGAAGGGATTGTTCATTCATTTCAGAATTTTAATTTAAAGTTGAGTCCTTGGTCGACTGTTGCTTAAATTCACACAAAGAACTTATGTTAATGTGAAAATACATTTATGATTGTAGATGATGAACCTTATAATTTAATAGTTTTAGAATCACTTTTAAAGAAATTATAACATTAAGTAGTTAAGGCAGAAAATGGTAAACATTGTATCCAATTATTAGAAAAAATGGTTGAACAATTTTAAGATCATAAATGTAAAGGATATAAAGGTATAATAATGGATTATTAAATGCCAATTATGAATGGTGAAGAAGCTACTAAATATATCACTTAGATTTGCAAAGATAAAAACATTACACCCATTCCAATATTTGGACTTACAGGATTTTCTGGAGAGGATGAGATAAATAGATTATTAGAATCTGGAATGAGAGAAGTATATGTAAAACCAATAACTATAAAAACTCTTGAGGATTTGATTAGTAACATTAGTAGGAGTGAATATAGATCTCTAGATTATGTATCAAATATATCTTAACAATTTTAATTTATGGATATAGAATATGCTGAAGAGGATAAATTAGTTTTGGAATAGTCAGTTAATTGAATCTTTGATCAATACTTTTTTTGAATTATCTTGAAGCTTCATAGATTTTTTTAATAAGCTATAATTAAATGTAAATAAGAAGTATTATAAAAAACAGAATATATTCATTTGCTCAGTATTAATTTTGAGAATTCTTCATAGGATATCCTGCCATCATTGTTTCCATCTGTTTCATCCAAAAATAGCTTCCAAACATCCGCATTTAATTCACCCATAACTTCTTCTATTTCTTACTTGCTTATGAATCCATCTCCATCTGAATCAAAAATCTTAAATGCTTATTCAACCTTTTTTATTGGAATTATCTTTTCTTCATTAATGGCAGCCATCAAAAATTCATTAAATTCGATTACACCTGATTAATTCTTATCGATCTTTGAAATAATCTTTTCAACATATTCTTCAGCTTGCTCTTTGCTTTTTAAAATCTTTGTGTATCCTTCTACTAATTCTGTTTTATTTAATACTCCATCTTTATTCTTATCTAAAGATTGAAATGTCTTTTAAAGATCTTCCAATTCTTTGTTGGTTGTCATTTGACTAATTATATATTACACGATTGCAGATCGAAATTCACTTTTGGCTTAGAATTATGCAAGATTCTCAAGTACTTTTTTATTAATTTAAGTATTAGGAGCATGCTTTTGAATCCAAGGGTCATTCAATGCCTATGATGCTGAATATCTTGAATTCACATCTACTTATAGCATTCTTTGAATTAAATTCTTTGCTTCTCTACTTATTGAATCCCATTCCTCAACTATTCAAAATCAATATGTAGAATATACTTGGAAATTTGAATTTGCCTGTCTTTACCTTCTCAAATATTTCGTTCTCATTTTTTCCTGTGAATGGAGGATACCCACATAATAAAATGTATAAAATGACACCACATGACCATACATCACATTTCTCATTATAATTGTGATTTAAAACTTCTGGAGCTATGTAATATGGCTTGATATTAATTTTATAAAATTACTGTTCCTAGTCTTTTAGTCATGTTCTTTTGGGAATTAAATTTTCTTGAGCATCCAAAATCAATTATTTTAAGTAGAGCTTCTGGCTCAGTACCAGAGAAGAGAACATTCTCTGGTTTCAAATCTCTATGAACAATTTTTTATTCATGACAATACACTACTGCCATTAATATTTATCTCATTAAATCGCTAGCTCTTCTCTCGCTAAATTAATTCATTTTCTTAATTCTTTCAAACAATTCTCCTCCACATAAATATCTAATTTATATACAAATTATACTCTGTTATTAAATAATAATTATTAGAATCTTAGTACAATTCATATAATTTAACAATATGGGGATGATCAAGATTTTTTAATAGGTTCATCTCTGAAAACATCTTTTATTCATCCTCTTTAATTAATTCTGACTTTCGAATTTGTTTCATTGCTCTAATTAAACCTCACAATTTATTTTAATTTCATACCTGTAGTTTTATGTGTTACCTTCCAAACCTTTCCGAATGCACCTTAGCCCAAAACTTAACCTAAAGTATACACTTTTGTTATTGATTGTTTTTTTAAGTTTACGAATAATTCCACTCCAAATTTTACAGACACTGAACCAACAGAAGCCTAACTATGTTTTCTGCTTGGACTATGATCCATTGGATTACGAGGAACTGTTTTTGAAGAAGCCGCAGGAGATTTTTTAGTTCCCGTATCTTATTATTGCTTTTACTATGCTTCATTTTATTTCTCCAATTTTTCTGCTTAAACGATTTTTTCTATAGGAGTTTATTCTACCTCAGCCTATTTTACTCCAAGGTTTTAATTTCTTTCTTCTACTTAATCTGATTTTTCTGAAGGCTCAAAAGACTCCTTCGAATCCTTCAAAAGTCTCTCATCCTTAAAAGTTCCTTTAGTATTGCTGAATTTTAAGGCAGGTACTTGATTTTTCATCTAATTTAGTGCGGATACTTCCTCATACACCTAAGGAATAGGAAAACTTTAAGATGGTAATCTTGATGGTGGTTCACCTGGACTTTCTTCTTTATGATTAGACTTTTTAATTATAGAAAGATTGCTATTATCACAAACTAGTTCTGCTTAAGATATTATTAATAGTTTACCTTAAGATGAGATTGGCTGTGGTTATTTATGGCAGCAAGTACTTCCCATTAAATTAACAATAAAAATAAGATTAGATTTTTTAACTTAATTTATAGATTGATCATGCCACTCTACTAATCATAAAATATGTGATTAAGCATCTAATTTAGATCAATAGATGCCATTTTAATTCCATTAATATTTACATAATAATACCAGAATTAATAAAGTATTACCATTATGTTATGCTTCTTAATATAACATGATTTAAACAATTTTGATTTATATTGTTAATTTATTTAGAATTGCAATCCTACATAAGAATAACCTTTATTTATATTTAATTAATTATTATCATAATAAAAAAGACTTTGTGAATCCTAAAGCACATCCATTAGGATTGCAACTGACAATTAATTATTCAAACTACCAAATACCTTAAGATGTCAAATTTCTAAAATTTATATGTAAATAAACAAAATTCTATATTATAAAATAACTTTAAAATATTGATAACTTCAAATATTTCTGTTGAATATAAAAGAGTTGATAAAATATTAGTCTGAAGATTTCACAATTCAATTTTTATAATAATTACATATTTTATTACTATAGTTTCTTATAATTCCAATTCTATTCATTCTCTTTTCTCAATCATAATATGTGAGGTTTTTGGTATTATTTTTGGAAAAGAGAGTTTGTAAAAAGGAATAACAGAATGAAACAAATGTAAGTTTTTAATAAACATAATTAAAAACTTCATAAAGGTTGAAGAATAAAATCAGATAATAAGTAAATATCACATTAATTAAATATCATAGATTCATGATCTATTGAAAAATTAATAATAAAAAAATATAGAAAATAATAAAATACTACTTTGTATACCGATTATAGTTAATATATAATAATAGTAGCTTATAATCTATAATAAAAGAAAATGAAAATTAAAAAATATGAACATACTAAACAAATTAGTATTTTAATGTTCTCTAGTGACTTAGTAAAATATAGAATAGTAATTTCAAGAAAATGAATCAAAAACTTTTAAAGAAAATTTGAGATCTTATAGTATCATTGAAAGGTTTTAAATAATTAGTTATGATTTTTCTAATTTAATTAACTCTATTTTATTAAGATGGTTTATTCATTATTGGAATATATTTTAGATGTCAAAAATATAATAAATGCTAGAAATAACAAGATAAATGTATTTTTTAATATAATTAACAGAATAAAAGTCTAAAATCAATCAATAACAAAATGGAAGTATTATCAATAATTAGCGTTATTATAAATATGATTTCATATTATATTGTTATGAAAATTTAAAGTTATTATAGAACAAAAATTATATACAATCAATAAGACATTTCAATTCTTTTATTAATCTGAATTATGGGCAATTTTTGTATAAAATCATGATTTTCAGTTAGTTCATCTTAATCCTCAATCAAATTAATTGAAATGATTTCATCATTTATGCCATTAGTATCTAAATTGAACCTATCGAGAAAATTAGAGAATGTAGGAGTTCTTTCTAAGATTGCATCAATTATGGTTAAACATTGATCTGCCGTTGCCCTCAGTTCTGGATTGAATTGAAGCATTTTTCTTAGTAAATTCTAGTATTATGGATCTATGTCTGATTGATTGATTAAATGTAACATCATTTTTTCATCATAAGTGATTGATTCATGATCAAATAAATCTTTTCTAGTTAAACTATATTTAAATAAAAAGAAGATACATTTTGTATAAAATGACACCACAACTAAAGATATCACATTTTTATGTAAATATTTTGGATTTAATTTCAGGTGCAGTGTAACCATGAACTCTACAATTAGGATGTCTAAAAGTAGTAAAAACGAAATTAATTACTTATTTTGGAAATCAATTAGTCTGCATCCCAATTCAAATTCTGAAATGAGTAGACTTTCTAAATTATTTGATTCCCTAAAGAATATATGTTCTGGTTTTAAATTTCTATGAACATAGCCTTTTGAATGAATAAAGGAGATGGTTGATATCAATTACTAGAGTAATTATAAAATTTACTCTAATTATTAATTACACTTCTTTAAATTATAATTATTTTGTTTTAATTAAATCTGCCAAGGAACCTCCTTCAGGGAAATCAAATACAAAATGATAATTCTTATTGCTATTATATACTTCTTTTAACTTTAATATGTTTTTATGATTTAATGATTAAAGGATTTCAATTTGATAATAGAAATCCTAGGTTATTATTTAGAATTTTACATCATCAGTATATTGTAGAGATTTTTAAATGGTTTTACACATATATGAATCTCTTGAATTAAGATATTTCATTTTTACAAGCTATTATTTCTATGAAATATAGAAATAATTACAGAACCAAAAGAACTATGTAATAATGATTGGATGGGTTCATAAAGAATTTAGTGTTTTCCATAGGTCACAATGCCATTAAGAGTTTATTTGAACAAATTACAAGTTGTTGCATCCATCAAGAAGAACTTCTATTGTTTTTTCCAGATTAACCAAAATCCATTGAGTTATTTGGTTTAATGATTAATTGACCAATCAATCATAGTTTAAGGAGTAAGATTGATAGTATATTTTATTTTAGTAGTGGTCTAAAACTTAAATAAAATTTTACTTCTCCTAAGTGAATTTCATTGTCATATTTGAAGATTTGATATTTTTTGGTAAATAGAGAGTGTTTACGATAACACAACATGATGATAAGTATAAGGGTATATAATTATTTTGCTGATAAAATCTTATAAATAATAATATCTAATAATTGTGATTTATTTGATTTAAACCAACACACTATATCCATTTATAAAATAATAATAACTCGAATAAAATAAATAAAGGAGAATCAAAATGAGTAGAACTCATGTTTTTAAATATAGATGTGCTTAACTTATTGAATTACATCTAGAGAATTGAGTTCTTCTAAAATAAAGGAATCGAAATTATCAAAATATTTTTGTGCATCCTTTGCAGTTATCCTTTAATGAGGACATGGATCTAACATTTTGAAAAGAATATTTTTGAATTGGTTATTGCATTAATTTAATTATTTCTCCTCATAAACTAAAGCCTCTATATTATAGATTTCACTTTCTTCACTTTACATTTCAAGATTATATCCAGTTAATCTAAATATTTAATTAATTTCATTTACATTGAATATAATAAAGATCCACAACTGAAGACATCACATTATTCATTATATGGATTTGTTTAATCATATTTTATAACTTCAGGAGCCATATAACCAGGAGTCCCACAATTTGGATGTTTTGTTAATATATCTTCAACTTTTGCTGCAAATCCAAAATCACATACAAGTATATTTGATACATCATTTTATTCCCTTAATAATATATTTTCAGGTTTTATATCTCTATGAATGTATCCTTTAGAATTCATGTAGATTACTGCATTTAAAATTTACTAAATATGATAAATATTCTAAATTACTTTCATTATTATAACTATTTAATCCTAATTTAATGTTCTATAAGCTAAATGTTCTCTAAGAGTTCCTCCTCTACAATATTCCATAATAATAAAGAAATGAGATTATGAACAATAAACCTCCTTTATTTTAATTATATTTTCATGGTTCAATGATTACATAGTCATCAATTCATAAATTATATCCTATTTTATATTTTTTTTTAATTACGTTTTTTGAAAATTTTTTATCCAACTTCATTACTTTGCATGCATACTCTTTTCCATCTAATAGGCTAACCACTTTAATTACCTAGAGAAATTAATTTTAAAGACTTACTTTCCCAAAAGTCCCTTCCCCTACTATTTAAACAGGAAAATATTATGAATTTATTTCATTGTATAGTATTTTACCATCAATTTAAGATTTCAGCTTTTTACAATTTACATCTGACATGTGAAATTGTTTTTTCTAATTTTTCCATTCAATAATAAATCCATTAAATTGGCATAGTTCTTTGTCAAAACTCCATTCAAGTTTTGACTACAAATTTATGGGCAAAACATACTTAGGATTTATTTAATTCTAGAATAATATTTTATTAAGTACCTTTCCTATGCATATATTATCATCTTGAATAAATAAGACATAATGTTAATCAATAAGAGCGTGTTTACGAATGCAAATCATAATTAAATTGAAATTTAAATATCAATTAACAATTAGATATCCGACTGCGTTTTTTCAGATTAGAAATTGTATTATTTATGTTTTTATATTGGTACAAACAAGAGAAATACTATTGTAATTATCGAAATTAATTAGTAATGATAATATATTAAGTTTAAATATTAAATATAATGTTTTAAGCTTTATTAGAATACTAATAATTTTTAGGAAACTTTAAAGAAAATACAAATAAATTTTAAATATTCATAATAGTTGGAGTATTAATATTCAGAAATAATTTGTTTAAATATTAAGGTCTTATTTATAATTGATAAACATTGTGATAGGTATTAATGATATTGTAATTTATTAGATTTGATTAATTTATTCATGATATTAGTAAAATGCTTTTTTAACAATTATCATTTTATTTATTATATTCATTATTAAATTGTGAATATGTTAATAGGTTTATTATATATTTTGTTATATTATTAGGTTGTATAAAGTTGTTATTTATTAAATATATTATTCTATTTCTTTAATAAATTATAGTAATAAAGGATCATTCCAAATTGGAAAATCTAATAAATTCTTAAATTTAATGTTTTCATTACTTTCTATTGATTTATATATTTAATGAGAACATATATTGAAATCAATATGGGTGTCAATTCTCAAGTCTTTTCATTGTTTAAATAAACAGTGTCTTAATTTATTGAATTCCAGAATCTGTATCATTTACTTTGTAATCTTCATTTTTTGTTACAAATATTTATTCTAACATTTCCAAAGCTTAGATAGCAGTTAATCGAGTGCTTGGATTCTCTCTCAACATACCTTTGAGGAGTGGTTCAAATTCATTATTTTCGAATTATTCTTATTCTAAACGAAATTATTGATTCTAATAGTAGACTTCATTATAAAAAGATCCATT